AAAAGAGATACCGAATGGAGTTTTGTTCGGACCAATGACATGGTCCTTGCCAACAGGGCGACTAGAGAATGAGGTTAGCGGCCAGTAATGATAACTAGCCTGGCTGGGGTTCCTTGGAAACGGGATCTTTTCTCACGCCTGTAATCCTAGCACTCTGAGAGGCTGAGGCGCGCGCTGGAGGTTCGAGGTCAGGCATTCGAAACACACCCTGACAAAGCAAGAACCCCCGTCTCATACATGATAATAAAGAAGGAAATTAATGGCCAACGCAAAATATATATTAGAACTAGCCGCATAAAAAGGTGGCCGGCATACACATAATAAACACACAGTTACTCAGAGACAGAGGGAGAGCTAAGGCAGGAAGAGAGATCGCATACACAGAAGAGATATTGAGGTTGCTAGATGAGCCCAGGCTGACCCCACAAACTCACTAGCCTAGAGGGCAACAAAGCGAGTCAAAAAAAAAAAAAAACCGGGACTTTTTGTGTTCCTGTTAGACTTTGAAAATAAGACACAAAATGGAATAATGAAGGTTATTACCCATATGGGAGTGAAAAATTGGAGCTCTGGTGCTCTGGTTTACAGGTAGAAAGGAGTTTGAGTCTGCAGTCCCATTTCCATCGTTCCTAGCTGTGGCCGGCCGGCAGCGGCGCCACCGTTGTCACCTGGGCAGGCTTCAGGGCTTGTCACAACTACTGGAGACTGGTGGCTTAGCTAGTGGTTTCTGCTGATGGTTTATGTGACTAGCAGAGACAGAAAGAGAAGTCTTGACAATACAAGTATCAGGGTGTGGAAAGACAAATCCATTAACCACTTCCATCCAGCGCTCACGGCGGCGAAGCCCTCGCCCCCAGCCTGCCCCGCCCCCCGCGCTCTGCGCTGCGCATGCGCCACCAGCCCGTCTGCTCTCGTGTGACGCGGGAAGCGGGAAAGCAGCGACAGCTTGTTTGACTTCACAGGTGGCTTTACTTGTCATGTCAATCAGAATAGGTAACATGCACATATATGTTTTCATTACGTTATTTTTAAATGTTCACGGTTTTATTTTGATAAATGAAAAATTAGAAAAGTCACATCATACTACTGTCTTTGGACCTTGAAAGAAAAAAAAAAAAAAAGTCCCATCATGGCTGTCGGATGCTCCGACCAAAGTGGTTAAAGGTAAAACACCTAACTAGACATGGTAGCTTCTCTCACCTCTTATTCCAGGCATTTATGTAACCTGGTTGCTCTCCATACACTAGTCATTAAACTAAAACTAAATATGCATGTTCAAAATTTGCAATAAATACATGAATCACAGGATACTATGAATGAAAGGCTGCTACTCAATTTTTGAGTTGAAAAACAACTTCTGAAGTTTTCCAAATGTCCATTAGAATTTACCATCCATTATGTTCTTCCTAAGTCATTGTAAGCCAGATCAGAGTACCTAGAAAGGAAGTTTGAAGGTAGTATTTGATTTATTAGCATATGCAGACTCCAGAATCTAAACAGAAAATATGCAGACATTTTATCAACTTGTGACATACCAGGAGTACATGAATATTCAGGGCTCCACACTACTATACAATGCTGCATTTCTTGGTTTTATTTGAAACAGTGCATATTTCTTAGCATTTTATGGTAGGACTTTACACTTGTCATTTACACAAATTACAAGGTTCTGCTTCAAGTCTTTAAAAAAATTTAAAAAATTCAGCCCATGTGCAGCCCAAGTATATGCAAAACTACTTTACATTATACACACTTTTTATTAAAGGAGATACAAAATTCTGGCTTGTAGTTTTAGACAAATACAAGAAGCTTCAAACTAGACGCAAAGTGTCAACATTAATTCTCAAATATAAGTCTGCACTTTTGTGTTGTGGTTCTCTGAGGTGTGAATATACCAAATTCCTAAGAGATTTAAAATTTTCCTTTTCAAAGGAAAACTGACAAATTTCTCATTAACAAGTGCCTTCCCATCAGTTTGATCTTTCTACCATCCTATTCTTGCTTCCCTTAGTGCCAGAGGGGGTGGCCCATTTACATTGATCCATATGAGGACCAGACCCTTTAGCTAACTTGTCTCCTGCAAAAATCTAGATAGCCATACATACATTCATTGATTCGAATGGTTCTGGCTACATTTTGTTTGATATGACTTAACACTTGATAACCTAGCAAACCATGGCAATCAGTCAAAAGGAGAAAGGTCAATGAGATTTTTATTGGTGATGAATTGGAGGCCTTAACAATCAAGTTGTCTGGTGTTAAATCGAACATGCCCACTGACTGCTTGAGGGACTTCTGATACTTATGCATAGATGCTCTTTTTCAGTATGTTGGAGGTATTTTATACTTTCTAAAGGGTTATGAAGAGGCAAAAGATACTTTCTGTCATTGGTACCCATCGTTCCCTAGCAATTCTCTGGTACTTACATGTGTGTATATGCATATTTAAAAGAATTATCCATCTTTCACTCACAGTCTATAGCCAACTCTTGATTATCTATGAGAATGTAAGTGACATTTAATCCCAACAAAGTTGCATCCCATGTAGAACACAGGCTCTCAAGACCAAGTTATAACACAGATTCTGTTTCCTTCCTCTCACCTGCGTGCAGAAGGCGTGTGACGGAACGGCGTGAGCACACTCTGCTAAGGCTGTGGGAGGAGCCCAGTGTGCACAGAGAGCAGGAAGTAGCTCTGAGCACGAGGAAAGACAAATTCCAAGTTCCTCCCTAGTCTGGTCTTACAATATGCCTTCAATATTTTGTTTTTAAATTTATGGTTACCACAAAATTAAAAAACCAAGGCATAGCCACTATTTCTCTTTTTTTTGGAGACAGAGTCTCGCTTTATTGCCCAGCCTAGCTCACAGCAACCTCAAACTTCTGGGCTCAAGGGATCCTCCTACCTCAGCCTCCTGAGTAGCTGGGACTACAGGCATGCGCCACCATGCCCAGCTAATTTTTTCTATATATATTAGTTGGCCAATTAATTTCTTTTTATTTATAGTAGAGACGGGGTCTCGCTCTTGCTCAGGCTGGTTTTGAACTCCTGACCTCGAGCGATCCACCCACCTCGGCCTCCCAGAGTGCTAGGATTACAGGCGTGAGGTACCGGGCCCAGCCCATAGCCACTATTTCATATAGATAATGGAGAGTTGACTGAAATCATGTTCTTTATGACTTTAGCCCTTTCACATTAAAAAATTCATAAGGATAAGATAAAAAGATTAAGAAAGACTGCCATATGACATCTAGAAGCATTTATTTTATGCATAAAACTTAAATATGATTGTGTACACAAAAAGTGTACACATTACCTATACTGAACAATGCCAAGAAACATAATATATTGATGTAACAATTGTCTTCTAAAATAAACATAAAAACTGAGTCGAGACCAGCAGACAAAAGCAAAAACACTTCCTAAAAGCACAATGCTGAAAACTGATAGCAATCCTAAACAACTCCAACTTTCCTTACAAAGCTGCCAAAGTCCAACTATTTTAAAAAATTGACTTTTTTTTTTTTACATCAATAATAAAAATCTGGTGACAAACATTATAAAACCAAATGCTGGATAGTCATTACTCCTTAAAAATCCCAAATATTCCATCATAGTCACAGGAGTAAAAACCATTTTAAAGTGATATGCTTCATTAAACAAACAACAATATGTACATTTATTGCAAATTATATTAAACTAAAATGGAGGGGAAATCAAAATATGAAGTTTACTACTTGTAAATCAATAATAATTTTAATTATTTTCTCACTCTGATAAAAATCAGAAAGCAACATTTATAAAATTGCCACATCACTTTTCATAGCAGGGAACTGAAATCTGTACACCTCATCTTTGCAGAAAAGCAGGCAGGCAGAAAGAATTATACATAAAAGTTTCCAAAAGGAAAAACAAAGAAATATTTAATCTGATCTCTTTTATTTTAAAAAATTAATTCAGTAGACTTCTATTTTTTCTTGTGTAACATGGGAATCCCTGGCTCTAAAATTGATGAATTTTCAGTGTCAGTGTAAGGGACATCTTGTTACTTTCTTTAAAATAAAAACTGCAGCATGGAAATTAATGGTGTATTCTGCATTTAAACTCCAGATATGCAGGAACTGGAACCAAATGTTAAGCAATTTGCTTAATTATTGACTTTTCATAAGAAAAGTCTGGGGGGAAGATAGAACAGTTGCTTTTAGCCTCTCTCCAGAGTTTCTGCTGTACATTTTCATCAGAGGACTTGTGGTCATGTGAAAAGGAAGTAATAGTTTCAGTTTTCAAGGCAGAAAGCGTGTGTTCTGAAGTGAACTTCATTTTCTGTTCAGGGATTTCGTGAATCCAAGTTTTTGCAGAAGCTGAAGCCTGCTTCTGTTTGGCCTTCATTTTCTCCCTTTGCAAGTGAGTTTTCTTTTTACCTTAGGGATAGGAGTAGAACAGCACAAAGTTAGAAAAGTTGTAGACAGGATATAAATAAAACCACAATTATTTCATTTCTATAGTTAACTAAAATCTTAAACTATTTTTTTTCATTTTTTCACCTGAGACTTTACTTGGTATAAGGAATCTTTTCCTAAACTATATAAAAACAAAACACCAATGAAGAAGTTGTTTTTCAACTATTTAGTGCTGCTATCCAATGCCCTATTTACTTAAGGTGATAAAAGCTATTTATTTGAAATAGTTGTAATTTTTAATTAACACTTTCAAAATTGGTATCATGGAAGAAAAATTACTGGACACTATGGCAAAACAAATTTATAAGCAGCAAAATAAGTTCTGACTGGAGCTGGGTATACATATACATTTTAGTGTACTAAAAAAAAACGGGAGGAAAATTCAGCTTAATTCTGTTAAAAGGTTAGGAGTCCTCTATCTGTACCATTTCCCCAGTAGGGAGGGCAATTCTGATCCCTAAAAGCCCAAGAGAGTGAGATATGGTCTCTTTCTCTCTTTTTCTCACTTACTCCTCTTTGCGAGGAGGAAGAACTCATCTAATAGATGAGACAGGGAAAAGAGATGGGCATATTGGGCCGGACCTCATCTAGATTCAGTCTTTTGCCCTGAGAGGTGCATCCTGGTTTGCTTGTAGCTCTTCAATTCTGGGGTAAGGAGTTTACTGCCACTCTGCTTATATCATTCTATATTTTTAATCAGCCTTGTCAGGGTTCAGTATTACGTCTGTCTCATTCTCAACAATTCCAAACCTGGGAGAGAAAGAAAGACACATTCCCAAAGCCCAAGACTACATACACATTTTATACAGGCAACAACGCTACCAAAACTAAGTGATTATTAATATTCTTACAGAGACTATTAATTTGTTATAACATACAAAACCAAGTTTAATAAAATGATATCAAAGAATCCTCCACAAGCTGCCTGCTGCACCTTCAGGAAGCTTCCCTATACTAGCTCTGAATCCTCAGTGTCTTCCTGGGTGCTCGCACAGATTTATAAACTATCCAGATCACTGCAAGAATTTCCGGGACTTTATGTCCCAAAGTGAATCTCCATCACTTCCGAGCACGTGGCTTCTGAAAAATTTCATATTATCTTGGTAAAAATTTACTTGTTACTAAAGAAATATTCATGTCAAACGAATATCTAGTTGTTTAACACATGAGGATACACACTTAGGCGTTACTTTTACTTTAATTCTAAGATACAGATCTATGTGATGTGAGGAAACCTCAATATTCAAGTGAGCACAGGAAGTCAGTAGATTCTGTTTAAGACAAACAAATTCCAAGATCCTTGAACACTCCAACACTAAGCATGCTAACCAAAACATGCTAATCCAAAGATGAGAAAACTATAGTCTGTTATTCTATAGATATTTTCTTTAAATTTACAGATGCCCCAGAAGTCCCAAGTTTGAAAACGATTTCTCCACTGATATTTATTGATAAGATTTTTGTTGAAGAATGTGGCCTTAAGTTTAAGCAAAACATTCAAGTATCAGCAGATCTATTAAAAACACATTCTCAATGCAAAACATTTGGAATTGTTTCTCATTTTCACAATAGCTCCAACAAACAGGAAAAACAAGTCAACTAAACTACTGAACAGATGATCATTCCATCACCCCAAACTCACAGCAAGCCAACATTAATATCCTATTACTGTTAACTGGTTCCTGACCACAGTGCAAAATGGCTGGTTTTTAGAGATGTAGCGGGTGAATTGAATGAATTTTTTCAAAATAAGTTAACAATTTCAAATGAAGCCCAAAAATATAATCAGGAAAACTTACTGGGACCAACATACACACAAATAATTGAGGGAATACATTTACTGTAAAAATGCAAAAGAGATCTAAATATTCACAAGTTAACTTTAAAAGTTAAAATACTCAGCATCAACTATCAGATAAAATCTATGGCAGTAAATTCTTGCATATACACTTTATGTTTCGGTGGAATAAAATATCCTTGAACCAGAAAATAAATCATTTAAGAGGGGATCATGCTAAAAAAAATTATTGATCTAATGTTGTCAATAAAAACCTAATAAGAGGAATTCTCCAGAGGCCAGCACTTGCCACTTATTAGAAGTAAAGGATGTGGTATGAAAATGGCTCTAAGGCTGACACTGGTCAGAATTCTACCTGAAGGCTGAAGGATTAAATGAGGTAACAAACATAAGGCACCTAGACTGTAGATGGTATTATTAGGGCCTTGAAAATGTTTTTTATTAATTACTTAATGATAAAATCTAAACAATCATATGATATGATAATAAATACCAAGTAATAAAATTGGATAAGTTTTCCAGAATTGGCGCTAGTAGACAGTGTTACCTTGGGGCGAGTGGGAATCCTGTACTCAGATCGACAAAGGAGTAAAGATGATTAGGAGAATGTTAGGAGAAAGGCACTTTTGAGATGCCACCGTACAAAGAGTTGTGACCAGAGCAGGAAAAGACCATCTGGGCAGTGAGAAATTAAACAAGTGAAAGGTGTGGAGAGTCATGCAAGGTAATGGAAAGACTGATGAAGTGGTAATGTGGAGTCAGAATGCAGGGCCACAGAGAAGCACAAGGGGGTATGCCTTATTTAATCAAATAAAACCCAGGGGTGAACTGTTAATACTCGGTGCAGCACTTCAGACGTGACGCTATAATCCAAGGCCCCCAAACAGAGCTGATCCTAGCACCCTGGGTTCATCCATAGCTTGGGAATGTTTGATGGCTCTCAGGTATGGCAACCCTATTTTTTCTCTTACCAGTGAGTTGGTTGAAACTGTAATGATAACCATAACAGGATGATTCAAGGTACTATATATTCAGAATTGATCAGTCATGCGAGCTGTAACCTATATTTGATCCTCAGGCCTCAGGAAAATACAGGTGGAATGTCAGATCACTCACAGGTAATATTTACAGTTAGTGAAAGCTATGTTCAGAATCTTGCAGAAAGGTGGAAGCAACAGTTCCACATGAAATAAAGTTAAGCACTTTCAGGATTCTGACCATTTGATGTTTTCTCCTGAAATTGAGGCATAGTTAGAACATCTGTTGAGTCACCATCAAGGAACTTTTGTTTTAATGTATCTGTCTAATCCATAGCTTATTGGTAAATACACACTAAAACATCTCCTTTTACATACTGAGGGGGAAAACCCAAATAGTAGGGTCCTGAAGTTCATAGTTTAAAAATGTTTCAAAATACTATTAATACATATGCTAAAGAAAGACACAACTGCAGCTACTACTGTTAGTATTACAGTGAGGCAGATAATGCGGGATGTTTCTGGATTTGAAGCTCTGCCCTGGGTAGCATGGGCCAAGTGACCTGAGAAAGGTCTTTCCAGGTCTTCATTTCCTTACCTCTAATTTAGGGTTGTACTTGCTTCACAATGGTTGTTGGCAGGTCATATACGCTCACCAAACTTTTCCTATTATCACTATTGTTACTACTAATATAGATGCCAGGCACCATGTCAAATACTTTCTATACCTAATTCTAACTAATTTTTACCACAGTCTTGTTGTTAGCATTGGAAGCTTTGTTTAAGTTTGCCACCTTCAGAAACATCTGATCATTCTCTTGGTTTTCCTCTCTAACGCTAAAATTGCAAGGGTTTTGTTTGCATGTATCCTGAAAGAGCTTAAAAAGATGACACAGTTGGTCTTGTTTAACCTGTGATTATTATTATTTTTTTGTGGCGATGAGGTCCCTCTATGTTGCCGAGGCTGGTCTTGAATTCCTAGTTTCAAGTGATCCTCTTGCCTCAGCCTCCCAGAGTACTGAGATTACAGGCATGAGCCACTGTGCCTGGCATAACCTATGATTCTTTTGAACTCCTAGGCTCAAATGATCCTCCCTCCTTGGCCTCCTGAGTAGCTGGAACTACAGGTGTGTACCACCAAGCCCAGCTTAGAATGAATTTTAATTTTAAAGGCACAGTACAGTATGGTGGTTACAACTCTGGAGTCATACTGCGTTGATTTTAATTTAATCCTGGCTCCACCATTTATTTGAGCAAAGAGGACAAAAACTACCCAGGCCCTCTATCCCTGAGCTTCCTCCACTCTGCAAGCTGGGAATAATGACAGTACTTACCACATAGAGCTGTTTTAAGGATTTAATGGGTTAACAAATAAAGAGCTAAGTATTGAGTCTGGCTCATGGCAACACTACATTAGAAGCCACGATTGCAAAAACAAAAACAAAACAAACAAAAAAAGAAGCCATGAGATGTTGTAAAAGATGTCTAGAAGCACTTAAAATGTATAGAAATACAGTAGCCCCAAATTTCAGAATTTCATAAATGGTAATATTTTAAATGTATTTATGTGCGTTAGTGACACTGCACTTTATAAAAATATTGAAGTAGGATAGAGGAAGTATTCTGAGCTGATCAAAACTGGGACTCTTCTCTAGGAATTCAGATGCTTGCAGTCTAATTCAGGGGCAGATGAGTTAGCTATATAAGAAGAAAGGAGGACAGGGTGAGTTCTAATTGTAGGCCAAGATGAAAGGAGCTACCTTCTAGACCTCCAAATGTGGCCTCATTGTTATAGTATGGAAAATCCGAAATCCAGGCCTAAGAATAATTAAAGATGAGCGGCTGTAAGGCTGTTTTTACTGGGCAGGGTAGGGGAGAAGTACAATATTAATCAATATTAATATTTTCTATATTAAAATTAACTATAACGAGAAGAATTAAAGAGCAGGCTATCCCCGGTCACATCTCATCACTGTCTTCTCCATTCTGGGATTTTGTGTCCAAAGGTAACCCTTCATGTTATGTTATGTAAACCTATGCAACCATTTGAAGGACACCACACAAAAGATGATATTCTCCTTGCTAATAAATAGACAAATCAAAATACTATATACTAAATAAAAATTAACCAAAGGAAAAAACAGATCTTTCTTCAAATTAGTGCCTTAAAAATGGAGAGTATGAGATAAAAACAAATGTCATTATAACTTACTCAGGAAAACCAAATACAGTTTTCATTCCCAAATGCCTGTGTTTCAGGTGATTGGCACCTATTAAGAATAAAACAAAATGTCTAAACTCAAAATTCAGGAAGAAATGATGTATATTACCTTTGTAAGTCAATCTGTCTCTCTGCTGGTGCTGCCTTTTTGGCTACGTCTTGCAGTTTGGGTGCTTTGGCATTACCTGCTTCCAACCCCCCAGGGCTCTCCTGACTGGCTGCAGGTCTTTTTCTTCCCTTGATAACAGGTTTATTTATGTCATCATTTTTGGTTGCATTGCCCTGAGATTCAGACTTGGGTCGACGTCCTCTCCTGGGTTTGGAAGGGGCAGGCGGTCCTGATTCATCTACTTTCTCGTCTGTTTTTTGTTGGATATTCTCTGTACCAGCTGCTGTTACTGTTCTTTTCTTTCCTCGATCACTGCTGATGTTGCCCTGGGTAGCCTGATCAGAATTAATTTCCTAAAAGAGCACAAAACAATTGTATAAACATAAATTCCTTAAATATCAATGATCTATCCTACAAAAACATATTTGGAGAGTATTTTATGGGAGGTGGGATTCCTGGGCTTCTAGTTAATTGCTTACATCCCATTAGGAAGTAAGCTCCTTGAGGAAAGGGTGGGCCAGGAGCTAGCATGGTGCTTGGCACATTCAATGTGCTCAATAAATGTGCATGAAATGCACAAGCAGTAAACAGAAAGAAAACCATACTTGTTTTGCTATCATATCTATTCCAAAATGTTTTTTAAAAAATTTGAGAAAGAGTCTTGCTCTGTCACCTCGGCTAGAGAGTGCAGCAGTATCATAGCTCACAGCAACCTCAAACTCCTAGGCTCAAGTGATCCTTCTGCCTCAGCCTCCTGAGTAGCTGGAACTATAGGCACATACCACCACGCCTGGCTAATATTTGTATTTTTAGTAGAGACAGGGTCTCACTCTTTGCTCAGGCTGGTCTTGATCTTCCAAGCTCAAGCAATCCTCCCACCTCAGCCTCCCAGAGTGCTAGGATTACAGGTGTGAGCCACCGCAGCACTTGGCCCCAAATGAAAGGGCCCTTTTTCATGGATGATGTGCTTTAAATTTATCACTTTTCAAAAGGAGCATTTTCATAAATCAATATACTATTTTCTCTATGATACATCTAACAATGATAACCTTTGTAGTTCTGTGACAAAGTACTTTGAATTCTCACTCCATTCATTAATTCAAACTTTTGCCTCTTTTTACAGCATCAACCATTAACCTTTTCTCTGAATATTTTCTTTTTTTTCTTGTTCTAGTTTAGCATGTACTAAGTCATCTTAAATGTTCAAAGTAATAAAATCCCAGTTTACTATAATAAACATAATGGAGAAACAATAGTTTTCAGAATGAAAGTGACCTTTATATGAATATTTAAGAAACAAAAATTTTAATTGATAACTTTAATTGATTAAAAGGAAGCAAAGTAACACTATTATCATCCAAAAAGTTAGATTATGTATTTTTGAGACATGGCCTCACTCTGTTATCCAGTCTGGAGTGCACTAACCCAATTACAGTTCACTGCAGCTTCAAACTCCTAAGGTCAAGTGATCCTCTTGCCTCAGCCTTCTGAGACGCTAGAACTACAAATGCACATCACTATGCCCAGCTTATTTTTCTATTTTTTGTGTATAGGAATGGGTCTTGCTATGTTGCCCAGGCTGGTCTTGAACTTCTGGCCTCAACTGATCCCCTCACTTCAACCTCCTAAGTAGTTGGAACTACAGGTGTGTGCTATCACATCCGATTATTTATAAACTGTGTCTTCCTATGTTGCCCAGGGTGGTCTCAAACTTGAGCAATGCTCCCACTTCAGCCTTCTAAAGTGCTAAGATTACAGGCATGAGCCACAAAGCCTGGTATATATCTTCTTATTTAATTAATTTTCATTTTCCCCAGAAAATCTTTCCAGAATGACTGGGGGAAAAACATTACAAATCTTCATGTTGCAAGAAAAACTAATTTAATGAAAGCTCCTGGGAGTGAGTATTTATTTATTTATTTATTTAGAGACAGAGTTTCACTTTGCTGTCCAGGCCAGAGTGAGTGCCGTGGTGTCAGCCTAGCTAACAGCAACCTCAAACTCCTGGGCTCAAGCAATCCTGCTGCCTCAGCCTGCCGAGTAGCTGGGACTACAGGCATGCACCACCATGCCCGGTTAATTTTTTCTATATATATTAGTTGGCCAATTAGTTTCTTTCTACTTATAGTAGAGACGGGGTCTCGCTCTTGCTCAGGCTGGTTTTGAACTCCCGACCTCGAGCAATGCACCCGCCTTGGCCTCCCAGAGTGCTAGGATTACAGGTGTGAGCCACCGCGCCCGGCCTGGGAGTAATAATTTAAAGTGAGGAAAAATTCCCAAATCAGCGTTTTACTCCAGGGTTTACTTTAATGTTAAGCCCCATTTTAATAGAATAGGTAATACACAAAAGGACCAAGAGTAAGGTGGCCCACAAGAGGAGAAATGTAAAAACAATACATTATGGATCACAGAAGAGATACACAAAATCATCTTGGGGAAAGATGGTGATTCCTGGGCAAAACAAGATGCATCAAAAATACAACTGGGTATTACAGTTGTAATTGTAAAAATACAACTGGGTAGGAACCATTTGTTCAACTGAATGTCTATTAAGTGTTGTGGCTGTTTGGTATAGACTGGAAAACAGAACTGATACGGTTCCTGTCCTCATATAGCTTAGAATGGTAGGTGACTAATTTTTAAAAAAATAAATATTTAAGTACAAATTACCTGAGTGCTAAGAGGTTATAGAACAGGGTATTCTGAAAAAAAAATCAGAGGAAGCATCAGTTTCTAATTGGTCCTTTTGGGGAAATATTATTTAAATAATATCAATGCAGAACCCTGTAAAATGAAAGTGAAGTATTCTAGACAGAGGAAAAAGACAGCATAAAGTACATCAAGAGGGAAAGTATGTGGCAGATTTAAGGAATCTAGACTGTAAGGAGTGATGGGACAGAGGCATAAAAAATGCAGGAGAAGCAGGAATGGGACGGATTATGAATGCCGTACAAGACATGTTAAGAAATTTTGATTTTCTTCTAGTGCTAAAGAAGTAATTTTTTTTTTTTTTTTTTGAGACAGAGTCTCGCTTTATTGCCCAGACTAGAGTGAGTGCCGTGGCGTCAGCCTAGTTCACAGGAACCTCAAACTCCTGGGCTTAAGCAAACCTCCTGCCTCAGCCTCCTGAGTAGCTGGGACTACAGGCACGCACCACCGTGTCCAGCTAATTTTTTCTATATATTTTTAGTTGGTCAATTAATTTCTTTCTATTTTTAGTAGAGATGGGGTCTCACTCTTGCTCACGCTGGTTTCGAACTCCTGACCTCTAGCAATCTAGCAACCCACCCGCCTTGGCCTCCCAGAGTGCTAGGATTACAGGCATGAGCCACCGTGCCCGGCCAAGAAAGTAATTTTTAATCAGAGGACAAACATAATCCAAATTACATTTTGAAAATACCACATTGGCTGCTATAAGGCAATTGGATTGAAAGGGAGCAAGAATGTTAACAAGACCATAAAATAATTACAGTGTCAGAAGCTGAGTTAGACAAGACAAAGATAATTTTAAAAGGGGAAAATATGAACAGGCAATTTACAGAAAAACACGTGCAAATGTTCAACAAACATACTGGCTGCCAGAGAATCACAAATTAAAATAGTTGGGGCATCAGTTTCAATACTGGAGGCTGAAAAAAATTCAAAAGAAACGTAAAACCTGTTGTTGGTGGGTATGCAGAGAAAAAAGTACTCCCATATCCTGCTGGTAGAAATGTCAAGTGTTCCACACTTTTAGGAAATCAATATGGAAATATTTAAAATCTGTGATGTATATCTTTTGAGCAATTCCATCACAAGGAATTAGCCCACAGAAATAAAAAGCAACAGTAAGTGTGCTTTTATTTATACACAGTAAATTTATAAAGGATATTATAACATTGTAGTGGCAAAAAAGGGGAAACAAAATATATGTGTATACATACATGACAATGATAGGAATATAAAAAAGGTACATATACAGATTAGATTATTTGAAAAGGAAAAGAGTTGATGTTAAAAATCGTGGACATGCCTGGCGTGGTGGCTCACGCCTGTAATCCTACCTCTCTGGGAGGCCGAAGCGGGTGGATCGCTCTAGGTCAGGAGTTCAAAACCAGCCCAAGCAAGGGCGAGACCCTGTCTCTACTAAAAATAGAAAGAAATTAATTGGCTAACTAAAAATATGTAGAAAAAAAATTAGCCAGGCATGGTGGCACATGCCGATAGTCCCAGCTACTTGGTTGGCTGAGTCAGAAGGATTGCTTGAGCCCAGGAATTTGAGGTTGTTTCGAGCTAGTCTGATGCCACGGTACTCTAGCCTGGGCAACAGAGTGAGACTCTGTCTCAAAAAAAAAAAAAAAAAAAAAAAAATCATGGACATGATCACATTAACACATTTATGAAAATTACATACTTGTGCGTATGTTCAAAGAGCCATGCAAAAGCAAAATAAAGGCCGGGCGCGGTGGCTCACGCCTGTAATCCTAGCTTTCTGGGAGGCCGAGGCGGTGATTGCTCGAGGTCGGGAGTTCGAAACCAGCCTGAGCAAGAGCGACCCCCTCTACTATAAATAGAAGAAACTAATTGGCCAACTAATATATATAGAAAAATTAGCCGGGCATGGTGGCTCATGCCTGTAGTCCCAGCTACTTGGGAGGCTGAGACAGAAGGATCGCTTGAGCCCAGGAGTTTGAGGTTGCCATGGCACTCACTCTGGCCTAGGCAACAAAGCGAGACTCTGCCTCAAAAAAAAAAAAAAAAGCAAAATAAAGAGGGAACCAGTTGTCTCAGGTACTAAAAAAAGAAAACTCCCTGAGGACAACAATGGCAATATTGTTTGCCTCAATCCATGGGATATGTGTGTCATGGTTCTGCTTTTAACTACCTCTCATATTCATCCTTCATATCACAATTTCCCCCGCATAGTAAATAATAGGAGACAATGTGCCAATTTGTAAACATGCACTTTGCTGAAAAATTTTCACATATGTGAACTGATAAATTGGTTTA